AAAATCTTCACTATAGCCTTATAGCGAAGTTGAGGTCTAGGACATAGAGTTCGTTATAACAAGAGTTGACTGTAAATAAAATTATTAGAAATTGAATTAGATTAAAATTAAAAAATAACCTAACATTAAATTATAAATTATAAATTGATACTAATATTTTAAATTAAATCTGATAGATTATCTGAATTAATTAATATCTATTCAAAATTTTAAATATATTTAGTTAACTATATTAAATAAAATTTACTAAATTAATTTAAATATTACTATTAATAATAAAATAAATAAAGAATATAAGCTTTAAAGATTATAAGATTATTGAATTTAAATTCATTTTATAATATATCAACATAATAAAATTTTCTAAAAATTATTATAATATAATAATATTTTTTATTATATTTATTGTTAAATAATCTAATATTAAATGTAAGATTACTAAATGAAACCTAGAGATTTTGCAAATTATTTAAATAGTAAAAGATAAAATTTAATTAAAAATCTGCAAAATTTAGAAAAAAATAAAACTATATTAAAGTTTATAAAAATGTAAATTTTATCAAAACTTTAATAAAAATTAGGAAAATTAAAATTTAAATGTTTTGTTAAATTTAAAATGAGTTTAGATAAATAAATCCAATTAGGTGTTTTTTACTAAAATAAAATTTTAATAGAAAATTTCTAAGCTTACACAGGGTGTAAGTACCTGTATCATATGACATATACTTGTCATTAGCATCACATCCCTCTGTCTTTAGTTTTTACTATTTATTTTAGGAACTTAGACAATTTTCAATGAAAAATTCTTATTCATCACTCATTAACCGTTACATTGACATCATGCAGATAATTTCTTAATTTCTTTATATTATTAAAAGTAATATTAATGTCAGTCATATTACATGACTGTGTATAATACACTCGTGTACAAATAGAAATTGCCTAAAAATTATATTAAAATTAGGTTTATTTTTAAATAATATTTATAATTAAAATAATATTATTTATACTATTTATTAAATAAATTTATAACTATAAAATTATATATAAATTTTAAATATAAAGTTTAATAATCAAATATAAGAAATTTTGTATTTTTATTAATATTTTTATTTTTTAAATTAATATTATTATTTTATAGATAAAAATTTTATTAAAATAAAATATTATTAAAAAAACATATTTGGGTAATTATTTTTATTAAAAATATAAAGTTATATTTATATTATTAGTTTGAAGAATTATTGTCTGAAACTTTAGCTGAAGAATATATATATTTAAATATATTTTTATATATACAAATATATGTACTGTCTATTCTCACATGTAATCTACCAAATAAGTATTATATCACAGCTAATCAAATATTAAGCTTTAGACACTTCAATAATTCTCATTACTTAATATATTTTTATCATTAGTTGAAATAGTCTAAATCAGCTAAAATTAAATAGTTAAATCTAGATTTATTTTATTAAAAATCATACTTAAATTATAAAATAAATTTTTTTTTTTATTACAAAATACTAAAAAAATATATTTATTATAATTTATAAGGTATTAGAAAATCTGTAAATTAGTTAATAAATGATTAATTTTGATATTATCTGAACCTTAAACAAATTAATCAATAAAAAAAATGAATTATTAGCTATGATAAAATATAATATAAACTTAAATTAGGTATAATAAAGAAAGATCTAAAAAAAAGAAATAAGAAGAAAATGTAATAATAGTTAAATAATAATTAGAACATTTTAATAAAATAATTTAATCATTAATTATAGAATTATTACAAAATAATTAGATAATAATTATTTTAATATGATATAATATTAATTATAAATAAGAAAATTTTTACATAATAAAATAAGAAAATAATATAAAAATTTTATTATAAATAACTTTAAAAATTATTATATAAAGGTAACTTTTTGAAATTAAAGTTTTAAAAATATAAATTTGCAATTTTAAGAAATTACCCTTATTTTAAAAATAATAAAGATTTTATTATAAAAAGAACTTTTAAATGAATTCAATTTTATTAGTTAACAATAAAGTAATTTTAAAATAAAACTCTAAAAAAACTTTGTAAAAAATAAAAAGTAACAACTTTATTTGTTATTATATAATTATTATATATATAAAATATATATTTTTAATTATTTTTTAAAAAATATTTTGAGGTTTAGTTAATAAAATCTTTATACTTTTTAAATTAAAAATTTAGATTGTAAATAAATACTAAAATAAAATTTGAGAAAATATATGATATCTTTTCTTTACTTTTAGAAAAAATTTAAATAAAGATTCTTTTAAATAAACATCAATTTTAAACTAAACTTAGTTGTTATTTAATTGATTAAATATTTTATTTACCTAATTGATAATTAGATAATACTACTATTACTTTTATTTTATTAATTATAAAAAAAATAAAATTAATAAAATAATATAATTTGAGTATACTAATTATTAAAATTCTATTATTTTTTAAAAATTATTAAAAACTAAATTTTATTTATATTTTTATTTATTTTAATAATATAATATATAATATATTATTTACATATAAATTAGAAAAAATATTATTTTATTAATTATTCTAAGTTGTATAATATTATAACTTTTTAAAAAATATATAAGAAAAGCAATATAAAATATTTTATTTAGTTAGATTTATTAATAGATTTATTAAAAAATAATTGTAGTTATTATAATATAATAATATAATTAAATTATATAAGAGGTGATTAATAAAAAAGAGGAAAATCTACAAATTTTAAGTAATTTTAGTTATTAAGCTAGTTTTGTTCACATGATCATGATCAACAAAGTGAACCAATAAAAAAATTATTAACTAAAAAGTAAATTTTCCCTTTTTTTACTGACCGTCTTATATATATTTAAAGTAAAATATATTATAAATTTTGATTTTAATGATATATGAGGACTTTACAATAGAAAAAGGAGAAATAGCTAGAAAAAATAAAAAATGAGTTAATGCTAAATTTGAACATATTTTGATCTAAAAATCATATTTGATATATAAAAATAAAATTGATTTTTTCTAGCAGTTTTCTTCTTTTCTATTGCAAAGGTCTCATATTATTATATAATATATATTTAGTCATTATTTTTATTATAAAAAATTATGCTTATATAATAATTTTTTAAATTTAATTTTTTTTTTTTTATAATTATATATTATATTTATAAAATACTTATAATTTTCATTTTTTTTAAATTAATAATTTTTATTTTATTTATAATTATATTTATATTAAATTATATAATTAATTTTTTTTTTTATTTAATTTATTTCACATAAATAAATATTTATAAATATCATATAAATACATATATATTATTATTTTATTTATTTTCTAAAGAATCTTTAATTAATAATAATAAATATATATAGTTTATAATTATAATTTTATATTTACTTTTAAAAAATCTAATTTAATTAAAAAAATAATTATTAAAAAATAAAATAAGTATTTTTATTTTATAATTTAATTTATTATAATTTTATTAATTATAAATATATAATTAAAATATTAGTATTAAATTTAATATTATTTTATTATTAAAATAACTAATAAAAGATTTTAATTTATTAATATTTTTTTTTAAAATTATTAAAGGTATTTCTTAATTAGAATTATTATCCTTTTCATCAATATTTTTAACTTTCTTTTTAATAATTTTATTTTTTGTAAAATTTTCTTAAGTTAATATTTTTTTTATTAATAATTTAAAAAACTTTTATTAAATTATTATTTTCTTTAAAATCTTTAAGATGATTTTTAAATTTAAAAAAAAAATTTTAATATTAATTAAGTTTTATTTTATTTTACTAAATAAATAAAAATATCTAATAATTAATATTATTTTACATTATTAATTTAAAACTAAAATAAACTGAATATATATTTATAAAATTTTATTTTAAACTATAAATTATTTTTATATCTTTAGACTAAAAATGAATTGTAATATTTAATAAGAGATATACAATAAAATATAATAAAAATAACAACTTTTAAATTGCTTTAGTTTTATAACTAATATACTATCTAAAGTAAATAATATATCATTTTAAAGTTAAAAAGTAGCAAAAATTATTAAAAAAAAATTATATAATATTTATTATTACTTTTTTAAATAATCTTACTAATATATTATAATTTCAAATATATAAAATTAATTATAAAATTAATTAGAAATTTTTTTACTTTTTATTTAAAAAAAACTTTTTAATTTACTAAGATTTTAAATCTATATATCTTTATATTCTTTATAATAATTACTCAAAAAATTTTAATGATTATTATAAATTTTTATTTAAAATAATAAAGTAATTGATAAACTTTATTTTTTATGTTTAATTAAATGCTATTAAAATTAAAAAAGTTATATAATTTGTTAATTATTAATTTTTATTGTACATTACTAATATTACTATATATTAATTTGATATTAATAATAAAATGATTTAATAAGTTTTACAAATATATGAATTTTTAAGAAATTATTTTTAAAATTTAATTTTAAAATTGAGTTATTTAAAAAACATTTTAATAAACTTAAAATTTCTTTTAATAAAGTAATAAAATTTATATTAAATTATATTTTTATATAAGTATTATATAGATATTTTATAGTAGAAAAAAAAACTACCAAAAAAAATTTTTAAATTAATATTAAATCTGGATTTATTTACTAATATTAGGTAACAAAAACTGTTAAAATATCTAAAGTGATAAAATAGTGTAAATAAAATAATTACAATGATTTAATTGATCAGTAAAAATGTATACAATCACATACATAATAGACTACATTGACTCAAACAATAAGCAAACAGACTGACTAGCAAATTTATTAAGTTGTATAATTTATCTAAAGTATAGCTAAAGACATTTTTAGTTATACTCATTTTGATACAATATCTGTCTATTCACATATGATTAACCAATAAAATGTATTAATATGTTGTTTTATCATATGATCTGATTTCCATATGTGATTACTCTTAAATTATTTTTTCTGTGATATTATAATTTAACATTTTGAATATTATAATAGTTTACATTACCTAGTATTTAATAGTCTTTCATTTATATTTTAGACTAAAAATAATATTAAACTTATAAAGTAAAAAATTTTTTTATAATAGTTTTTTCTCTTTCTATTTATATTGTTAAAATTTATATTTAATATTTATTATATAAAGTAAATCATAAATTGGTTAAATAAATCAAAGAAAATATTTATATTATGTATAATTTAAATTTATTCTTATTACTTATTAAAATAAAATAAATTAATTTTTTTTATTACAGACTTTCGCCAAAAATCTCCAAACGTCATCTTTCAGCTATTTTATACTGAATACATTATATGACTATATAATACTGCGATCATATAATGTACCTAACCTTATTTGCTTGAATTAAAACTAAATAAAAGCATGTTTAGTTTATTTATTTTAATTTTTAACCAAAATAAAATTTACCTTCTGAAATCCACGAAAATATTCAAAGAACAACATAGCGAAATATATTTTGCCATCAACGTGACAATAGTTACCAGACTATTGCCACAAATATTAGTTGTGAATTTTTAATAGCATTTAGAACTTTAAAAAGAATGGATGGCACCAGAACTGTTAATTTGAAGCTTTGTTCTGGTCGATTATCCTTAATTAAAGATTTACAGCGAAGCTAGCTGAAGCGATTTGTCACAGTGAATTCGGGCTGTGATGAAGCAAATAAAGGCCTGATTAAGTACTAATTATTTAATACCAAATGTATAGCATATCGTACATTAATAAATAAATTAATAAATTTTTTTAATAAACTTTAAAATTTTAAGTTTTACATTGTGCCAAAAAGCATTGAAGACTTTTGGCGAGGGTCTGTATTTATATTATAAAAAGGTAATATTATCTTAATATTATAGTCAATTAAGATATTATTTATAATATTAAATATTTTAATTATATATTTAAAATAGAATTAGTATTCAAGAAATAAATTTAATTGATTTTATTCATATTTATTATATCAAATAGTTTATAAAATTTTTTAATCTATTTAATTCTTTTTTTGCAAATAAATCAAAAGTATTTACAAAAGTTGAACTTTAATTTTTTATTAATAATATTAGATTTTGAATTAACTTGCTTTTTAAATGTTATTTTTTTTGTTTTTAGATAAGAATTATTTTAAATTAATAATAATATAAAATAACTTTCTAGACTATATAATCAGTAAAATTATAATATGAAACCTTAATGGAAAGGTAGGAAACAGCTAGAAAATCAATTTTACCAAATTTAATATTTAGGTTAAAATATGTTGAGTTTTTGCATTAACTTATTTTTTATTTTTTTCAAACATTTTTCCCTTTTCTATTGCAAAGGTCCTATATTATAAAATTTTTATATATAAAAACAAAACTTAAAAATCTGATTTTTTGTATATAAATTTGATATTAGAGAACATATCCTATTATTTTCAGCTAGGATAGCATTATTTTATAACAAGTCAGAAGAAATAGTCAGTTTTTTCTGATTAAATGCAAGAAATGATACATATAAATAGAGAATTTTAGCTAATTATAAGATAAAAATAAAATTGTATATAATTTATTGATTAAAACTACCATAATTAGATTAATAAAAAAAATTCAAGTAAAATTTAACATATTGTTTTGGTCTAAACATAAAAATCAAACTCAATAATGTTTCTTTGATATTGTTATTAAGTATTTAAATAAATAATCATATAAATTAATCATTTATGTGATCAAAACAAATAAAACAAAAATTATATTACAAAATACAGTCAACTCTCTAAATGAGCCCTCTCTAAATGTAGACACTATATACCTTCTCTCTAAATGCACGCTCTCGTTCAATCCCAAGCATATAGAAATCATATAAAAAAAATTTTTTAATGCACACCCTTTAAATGCACATTTTTTAAAATTTTCCAAGGGGGTGCATTTAGAGATAGTTGACTGTACACAATATCTATAAATTTATATATATATATTTTAAATAATAACTTTTAATCATTCACTTTTTTTTTTCTTGAGGCATTTCAGCTTCTATAACATCATCCTTTATATCATTATTATTAACATCGTGCGTTTCAACTTCCTTATCATTATCGTCAGGTATTTCAACACCTTTTATATTATCATCTTTTGTAACATTATCATTATCATCGATTCTTTTAACTTCTTTCATATCATTATTATCATCGATTATTTCAATTTCTTTCATATCATTATTATATTCATCTGGTATTTCAACTTTTATATCACTATCATCATCGGATACTACAACTCTCCTTATAACATTGTTACTAACTTCATTTGATGAGGCATTTTTCTTACAATTAGATGACTTACTTAAATTATCATCGACACTTGAAAAATTTTCATCATTTTTAAATTTCTTGCCGGTCCCTGATCTTTCAGAGAAAGGAATTTTATAAAATAATGCATCAAATCCTCTCCCAATAAGACTAAATAATATTGAAATGCCAGCGGATATTAGAGCAATTACCGGAATTGGATCGTAAATGATACTATTTTGTTGTAAATATATAATCTACAAAAAAAAAATTTTTTTCTTTTAGTGAATATGATACAATATAGTTATATAGCTATCAGGTGGGTTTCCGGTATCGGCCTTCGATCGACGTACGTGTTTCGGGCGAAACAAAATTTTCACCTACTTTATAGGTTCCGGAATAAAGGTTCATCAAATGTATTGGATTTTGAAATGTAGAAATGCTAGTTGACCGATATCATCCCACTCAATAACTGTTTTATTGGATCAGAATATTAGGACTTCATTTGATCGAACGTCAAAAAAAAAAAAAATATTTGTATGTAGTCCTAATAGCCTGACCAATAAATGACGAATAAATAAAATGGTTTAACTCACTCTAATGACAAATTGCGGTACATCTTCAAGAAATATATTAATAAAACTTCCCCAAAATACTTTAATTTCGGCTTCCTTTGACATTGGTGCACAAAAATAAGACAAGCCCGCTAATTTGGACGTAATAATATTTAAGACTCCTACATCGGCTGAAGCCAGAATCGTCAATAATGATACAACTTTTGTATTAGTCATGAACCACTTTCTAAATGATTCATTTGTAGATTGTTCTTTTAATATGATGTATAATGCGAGAATGGCGTTGAAACCGGTTGGTCCGATTAAAAACAAAATACTGGAAGGTAAAGGTAAAAGATTTATTTAGAATGTATGCAAGAAGTGATGACAAAGAAAATATTAAGTAAAGACCTTGGTATGTATAATGAGGAAGCTGACTGTGTATTATATACAATGAATGCTATGTCCAAAATAAAATCAAAAATGATTAATGCGAATGAAAAGATGAAAAAATTACGTGCCTAAAAAATATTGGGACAAAATGATTGATTAATAAATTGGATCAATCTATGTAGAAACCGACCGAAACAACTTATTATATGATTCCTTACATTAGGATTTCGATGTCTAAATATAAAGAATACAATAGTAACCAATAAGGCTCCACCTAAGATAAATATTAAACCCATTTTCATTTGAAGACTCCATCCCTCGGCTAAGAATATCACAATCCAAAGTTAATTTGTAAGAAGCGAATACAATTTTTATTTTTTTTATTTTTTGGTTTGAATTTTGTGATTAATAACTTACGCGTTAACACAACACCATATTTTTCATCCAACATGCTAGATAGAGGAAATCGCGATATAAGGGTGGAATATTTATTTTTAACTAAAGAGTCCAAGACACCCACAATGTCTTTAGCACACGGTTTTGTTCTTTCATCTGGTTGTAATATTCTCACTTGCATGAGAACAAAATTATTAGAATCAAAGGGATCATTTTGAAATTTTCCCGTATCAGATAACCTAGATCTTTCGATAGGAATGATTTCAGAAAATTCATTCATTAGTTCATTATAAAAGATGCTAACTTCATCCGAATCGAGATATTTAAGATATTTTGTTCCAACGGCATTAAACCTCAATAATACAGAAGCCGATGCTGATAATAATAGAAATTCAATATAAGAATTACGACCAAGTTGATTCGCTAGATATAAATCATCTCTTAACTTACATTTGCACGGATCAGGTTCTTGCATGGATGTATTTAAAAACCAAATTCTCTTGTTGATTCCCATTATCGCCTCGTTGAATTTTTTAGAGCTGACAAAGTTATCGTCAATTGTGACGAAATAACTTGCGCTTGGATTATTAAAAGTGCTTGGAAATACTTCGATGTTCACTGTTGTGTTGTCTGAAATTGAAGCGTATCCAGATATTCCGGAATATGATTGGCGTAATAAGTCATTCAAATTATCAATAACCTGATAAATTGAGATGTTTCCGGACGAAAACAATATGGGTTTATCGTATTGTATTGAGATACTATCTAAACTTTTGGATCCTATGGTCATGTCAGTGGGCGTCGTTTCAAGGATATTTGGATTTCTGTGTTTATATTCTTAATGTAAAAATCAATATTTTTTCCTCCCTTTTTGTTTTTGACAACATTCGAAAAATATATATAAATATATATATATATAGAAAACTTACTATAAATTATATTTCTGTCACGTAAAGGATTGGTCATTATGGTCCAGCTAGCAGCATCCACTTGGTAAAACATTCCCCACATCGTATCATTACTTTCAATATATGCATAATGAATGATATCACCATTAAAACCTTCCCATTCCCCGTCATATTCACCATCCTGCGTTAAAAACATTCCATTTTTTTTATTATCACCCAGATCATAAGTAACCAGAAATCCTCCATCAAATAAAACGTTAAAGGTGTCAACCTTTTCATTAGGAGGTCGCTTGCCCATATCTAACTTTTTAATACTTGTTACAGAACCGCTGGTTAAAAATGTTAATCGATAACGCATCGAAGTCGTTTGAACATTTGTCACTTCTTTTGCTTTAGGCAGCGGTGGTTGTTTCGGAGCATCTACCGTTTCAATAAACATTAAACAATTATAACCTTGACCATTTGCTGTTTTCCGACAAAAACCAAATTCCACGTTAAACCAATCGATCGGTGATTGATAGATTAAATACGGTGCGCTGATTTCCGATGCGGTTTTATCCATAAAAATCGCGTAAACTTCCCAAGCCGGGTCCGAGACGGGATCATTGGAAGTTTTTAAAGGTTTGGTCACAAGGATGAGACCGTTACCACCATCGCTTGAGCTAAACATATCGTACGATCTAATGATCGATGACGGATTGGGAGTTGAGAAAAAACCCGATCCAATCTTTATGATTTGTTTAGGGTTGGAAGGCATCGGTGCAAATCGTGACCATGCGATTGCAGTACCATTTACAAGACGAGTCCACATAAATCCAGTTTCTTCGTTAATATTACGATTAACATTTCCAATTCCAATTCCCAACTCAATGAACTGCAAAATATTTCCATCCAAATCAATTACCATTCCTGTATGTATAGTTGTCGCTTCATCCGTTCCGTTAAAATATGTTATGAGGATCAGATGTTTATTGATAAAATAATTCATGAAAACTTTTTCCAACATGCAAAAATTATAATCTGGAACTTGATCAGTGAACTCCAACGACTTGACGGTCCCATCCGGAAATACAATTCTTAAATTTATTTCGGGATCAATGCATGTTTGGTCAAGGTTATTATAATGGGCAAACTGGATCAAAAGGGTCCCGTCCTTCTCTGTATAACTATCGAAAAGGTATAATTTTCTTGCTGGATCCTCCAAATGGGTCAAAGATGTGTCATATGCCACACAAAATGTTGGGAATTTGGAAAAGATTAGAATTGCAATGACAACAATTGGAAGGGAACAATGGAAACGACGGTGATGTGACGTATTAAGATGCATTTGAACGTCATCAAAGTTAAGAAGCTGCAAGTTATAAATCGGAAAAAACGAAAGAAAAAAGAAGGATTAAAACCTTAAAAAATAAGTTGTGATGATATTTATCTTTTTTTTTTGTTTGGGTCAATCATCAGACAATTATTAATTGTTTGTGTTCGTTGTCGACATTATTATCTTTTTTTTTTTTTTTTTTTTTTTTTTTTTTTTTCGAAGAATAAAGAAAATGATATGGTGTTGGCTAAATATAATTGAGAACCTGTCACAATTACCTAATAAGCGAGTTGTGCTTTTAACCTTAAACGGTAATAATTAATTAATTGGTCTATTGATATTGATAATGCATTTTGTTTGTTAAGTTCCTTAAGTTTTTATACGCACGCAAGTTTTATTTGTATAAGAATTTGGAATTGTAATTGATTTGGAAGTAAAAGAAGGAAAGATTTAATAAATTTAAAAATCCTTACCGCTAGCTTAATTTAGGAGGTAATAAAAGTAATCGATTTATTAAAGCATGAAGAGATTGATTATTTTTATCGTTTTTGTCCATTAAATCTTTTGTCAAAGAAATTTTAATTTGTAAAAAAAATATCTATCTCAGTTATTATCAGTTATTATAATCGTTACATGATGACACACTATGGAAAAAAAAAAAAAAAAATGTGTTACCCCTCATAATAAATATCATAGTGATTTTCAACGTTATTAAAAGTTTCCTAATTAAAAAATAATTGGGTTCGATCTGCAACAGGGTTCAGAATTGTCATGGGAATTTTTTCTGTCCCCTTAAAAGGTTCGAAATTTAAAATTACATGTCTGATCGAACCTAAAAAGTGTTCATAATTGTTATATTCTTCACAATTATTATTCTAAAAATAGAATCCATTAAATTCTCGTTGTTAAAGGGTCACATCCATTAAAATTGGGTTTCTATTGTATGCCAAGAGCCTAACACATTTTTATAGTTATAGGACGCACAATGTAACAACATGCGGCACATGAAATGTGTGACTACATATAAATATTTACGAAAGAAAAAAGATTCTGCTGGAAATGGGTACATTGTTCCTTTTACAAAAAGGGATGACTTGAAATCTTGAAATCTTGAAATATGATATAAATCATTTAATCACCTAACCATATAAAGAGATCAAAATTAATTCGGTTATGACTGTAAAAAGCAATCAAATTTAATTCGGTTAATTAATATCGAATCGAGTCCTTTTGCCGACAGATTCGATTGGAGTCTATTCTATTGTTTTCAGATCTTGATTTCATTTCCAAAAAGTCTGATCGACGGATGATAAGCATTACTGTATTATATACAATATCTTTGATTTAAAAACATTCTCTTCGTTAATAATGGTTCGAAAAAATAAAATTCGCGAGCTGTCTGAAATTTAATTCGAATCAAAAGAAGAATTATTCATGCCGAAAATCAGGTAAAAAATTTAACGCCCAATATCAATTGTTGGAATTGTTAATTAACGTCGGAGGTGCAAAAATGCAACAATTGAAATTTCAGGAGTTGTCTTGGCCAAAATAAGATGACATTTGGCAATAAAAACATTATCATCAAATTACTGTGCCCCATATCGGCACTGCGCAAAAATGTCGAGAATTCAACGTCGAAAAGCCAAATCAAATTTTGGAAAAAATTGTTCATGATTAATTGCGACGGATTAACTCTACTTTTGAAAAAAAAAATAGTGGAATTGAATCTATTTAACAAAAAAATAAGAGAATTAGATTCATTATAATTCTAATTATATGTTTGTTGATGTCAAATTTTTCACGAAAGTTTGTCGCACGTTATTCAAATAAAAGAAGTGGCTGAAGATTTTGTTATCAAAGCTACAATCAAAAGTACCTATATGTCAAAACCCCTTTTATTTAGCGGAGAGCGGTGTCAATATTAACCCTTATGTGAGTTTGCACAATTGAAACCCTCAAAATGATTCATATAATAATAGATTGTGCACTCTTTGCCAATTATAATTTTGGATAAAACTAAAAATGTCAATGACATTTAATTAAAAAAAAAAATAATAACAAATGAATAAAACAATCAATTCCGAAATGCATGTCGGTTCCTTTTAGAAGAACTTGGAGAAACAAAATAAAAACATGAGGCACCAGTTTTATAATTAGATTTGTACATTTAATTTTATTTACCCACTTTCTTTACAATTTACCAACTGTTGCAAAACATAATTTATTTCTTTCGGTTACAAACTTTTGCGAAACTAATATATAGAAATGATAAGCGTTTCTTTTTTTTAAAAAAAAAGAGAAACAAAAGGTGTAACATCATCCATCGTATTGCAGAATTAATTCAATTAATTACTAAAGATACCAAAATTTAAGGATCAAAGTTGTATAATGCAGGGAATTTTTTAATGCGCATCATTTCTTTTCAGTAATTGCCATTGAAGAAAAAGTACGAACCAATCCCATTTGCAATTCATTCATTAGAGACGCCCACTTTTTTTTTTTTTTCATTGATATATCGATCATAAAGACGTTCATTTTATGAATTTCTAATCCGAATCTAAATTTCTTTGTTAACAGAACCTGATTAGTTCATTCTCTATACGGGAACTTACAAGAAAGCATTTTCGTAAGAATTACATTAGATCAAACGGTAGGTATGCCGGTAAACGAAAGACGGTAGATCCGGAATTCGCCGATGCTCCTAATATTACGTGCATATTTATTTGGCAAGCAATTGTACATGATAAAAATTGTCATTGCCGTGTTTACAATTACGATTCCTTCAAATAATTTATTACCTTTTTTTCATTTTGAAAAAAGTTTATAAATAATCAGCAAACGCGATCCCTTCACTTCAAATTTCACGAAAAAACCAAAAGGAATAATAATAATAATAATAATAATAATAATAAAAAAAAAGAATGAATTTCAAATTTATTACAATGATGTGCATGCTTGCCTTGGTCTCGGTCTCTTCATTGGTCGAAAGTTTACCAGCTAAAAAAACAACAAAAACAAGGTAAATACCTTCTCAACGTTAGAAATTTTTTTACTTTTTAAGAAATCTTTTTTTTTCAACTTACTAAAAGAAAAATTCGAATTATAGCGATAATGACATGAACTCGGATCGGGATGGAGTGAATAAAACGAAATACGGCGGCAGAGTTTCTTACTAGAATGATGTGATGAAGTAGTAGTCATAATCTAATCTAAATAATTTCCACTACCTTCTTTCTCTCAGACTGTTATATATATATAAAATATATTTAATGTAATCATTTAATATTTAGGCTTCGTTTTTTTTTTTTTCTTTTTTTTTTTTTTTTTTTAAATAGACTAAGATTTTATGTAATGAAATTACAAATGTAACAAATATTTTATGCGTCTTTATGCGGCGAAATAAAGAAAATTGTTGATAGTTCACAGCCGAAAAATTTGTTTTGTGATTAATTAATTAATCATGTAGCTAGAATTTGCATGTAATCTTTTTTTTTTTAAAAAAAAAAACTTTTATAAGGAAAGGATCCCTTCATTTCATTTTTTTTTTTATTTAAAAATAAAATAATAAATATTAACAGCGAGCAATTCAAATTTTGTTGCCAATCCAAACATTCTTTTAAACAAACCTTTTCCTCTTTACAAACAACATGAAACCAAATACTTTAATTTTGACTTTACTGATTGTTCTATGTCTTTTCTCATTGGCGACTAGCTTGCCGATTAACAATAAAAAAGTTCAAAAACCTCCGCCACCTAAAAAAATTAAAATTCAAAAACCTCCGCCACCTAAAAAAGTTAAAGTTCAAAAACCTCCGCCACCTAAAAAAGTTAAAGTTCAAAAACCTCCACCACCTAAAAAAGTCAAAGAAGAAAAAGAAGAAGCGTAAATATTTTAAAATATTTTTTTTTTTTCAAAGTATTTCCTTTATCATCTAACCCTAAAAAAAAAAAAAATAATTTTGAAAATAGAATGGACGCGACTCGGTACGGAATTAATAAACCACAAACCTCTGGCAGAAGGCCGAAAAGATCAATTGGAATTTAACGATAATTTGATGTTTAGATTTGCGCTGCATTTTATAGATCAATATCATAGAAACATGTTTAAGTTGCTCCTTTTAAAGAGGTCTTAATTTTTAATAAATATTATAATAAAAATAAAACCAATCAAATTTAATATTATTTAAATCCAACTAATTAAACTAATTTACTAATTATAATATTGCCAATATTGGTCAAAATATATTTTGACAATTTAATTGTGAAACAGATCTTACCTAAACCAGTCCTTTCCCATAAATAAAAAAAAAAAATCGTTTTTTCTAACAGAAAAAAACAAGTAAATTTTTCGATAATTTTTCTTGAGGAAATAAAATCAAAAGATAGGGCAAAAACTTTATAAATGGCAATGTTGAACGTAACTTAGTTTTGCTTCGGTAAACCAAGAATTATTAATACATGAGAATTAATTAATTTTATGCAAAAAGATTCCCCATTTGCATAGGATGTGTGTGTTCCATTGTTTTTATTTTTATTTTTTTTTTTTACATGCAAAACATTTATATATAAGAACGATGATAAATTTCCTACTTTTGTAAATGATGTTTTAACCTTTAACCCTAAATTATTTTTTATTTCGCGTCAAACTCGCGAATAAGATTTTAAATTCAAAAGAGGAAAAAATTATTCGATTTTTACCTTTTTGAGGACAAAGTCCCAATCCATTAATTTTTTATTTATTTATTTTCCAATTTCCTTTCTTTTGTTCCCTTTTGAAATGCCGATTTTAACCCGAACCAAAACACAACAGGATCGTTTCGTTACGTTATCAAAGTTCGATTTGGATCGTTGTTACAAATTAGCCTGCGCAAAGTTATCAGAAGAAGTACCCTTTAAACTCACCAAAACCTACGCACAAGCGTTATATTCACCTTCATTTGAAGACATCGTTTCCATTAATAATCTACAAGCGGTGCAGGATATTTTCTATACAAAGTTAAAAAATAACTATAAAGCATTCAACAGTCGGAACGATGATGATGATGATGATGATACCGATAGCACGATTTCTAGTGAAACCTCAACCACAACGTCTTTTAGTACCATTGACACGTTTCCCACCCATGATATTGATTGGATTAGAAGTTCCTTGGAGGATGAAGAAAATGGGGCATCCATTTATAAGTCAGTATTTCCTAATATGATCATTTCGTTTATGTTTATCATTGTTATGATCATTTTAAGGGATGTTTTCGAACTCAATGACAATGAGAACTTCTTAAACGTAACTCATCCTGTTTAATGTACTTGTCAATGTTTTTTAAATACAATTTGACCTCCCTTCTCCTCTCTTGTAACCATCCCTTTCTCTCCTTCTTCTTTAAAGAGTAATACTTTGCCTTAAAATTTTCGATATCTTTTAACCAATATAATTTATAATAATTTGGATTCAAGTTAAAATGCCTCGTCGGTATGATAGATTCCTCAAATTTCTTTGGTAACCTTTTATATTTATCATACTTATGTTTAATTATACCATATTTCCGACTATGAATACATTCTTCACAGCAAATTATATTTGTAGTATAAAGGTCATAATAAATCATATTAATGGGTAAAAGACAAAATTGACAATGGTATTTATTTGCCATTGTGGTTCTCCAAATATATTCTTGCTCTGTCATGTTCTTTGGTGGGGATAAATAATGATGACAATCCCTTTGATTCAAGATCCTAATCCGTTCCCAGATGACTTGTGTCTTTGGTGATTTCGACCATAATATCGTCCTAAAATATTTACATACTGAACAAAGGGAATATAAATCTTGTGGTGTTGAATAATAACAAATCATAACCAAGATTTCAACTGGCATCAATTGGATCGGTGATAAATTAGGCTGGGTGTCATTGTGAAATGAAAGTGCGATTTCAGGAGTTAGAGGGACGTTGATGGTTTCGGGAGATGACGTTTTGAACGATTTCGATTTTCTAATCTGTTTAATTAATGGTTTTAAGAATCTTTCGTACATTGTTTTTGATTAAAGTGTGAGAGAGTGAAGGTTTAAAAATTCTAGGTTTAAACCGACGACGAGAAATTCACAAAGGAAGAAAAAAAAAATAATAATAAAAGTTGGTTAAAAAGATTCCTAATTTAAATATTAAAACCGTATTTGTTGCACAACCATATTGCATATTAGTTTATCGTGATGGACTAATTGAATTCTATAACCTTATTAATATCTATTGTTCAATATAAATCATTCTTTGTGCCTGAGTATCAAATCTGCACTAGAGGTTTTTATAATAGTCAACGAATGTGCTATTTCGTATGTCACGTGGAATGCAATGACAAACTGATTTTATTTAATAAATCATCCCTTTCAATCAATATTAAGTTTTATTAAATTACTGCTTACGCTATAAATAAGTAAATGTAAAAAACAATTATATTAAAATAAAAGTCCTTTCGATCCTTGTTTTTTTTTCATGTGTCATAGCACGAAATAAATGATTTAAAACAGAAATCACATGAATTTGCTGTTTTACTATATTTAATCAAGTTAAAGGTTCAAATGTTTTTCCTTCTGTAACAGCTTAAAGATCATTCCGGGGCACTGGGGACAAATGTATCGTCGCTCTCAGTAGTTCCAGTCGATGGTGGATGATTTTCTCCAAACCGACGTTTGTTAAATCTAAAAAAAAAAAAAAATGTTTAAAATTCATTAATAAGAGGTCTACAAGGATCAAAAACTTCACATTATGGACTTACTTTTCATGGTGTTTCATAAAGTCTTGTCGTAAACTTAAATGTTCATTTGGTAAAATTGGTAACCCATTTACCAAATCATTTAAAAGAAATAAACTGAAAAGTAAAATAATAAACATATATCTTTTCATTTTGTTTATTCTTTCTTTTTTTTTTTTTTTTTTTTTTTTTTAAAAAAAAAGAAAAAAAAAAACCTGTGAATAAATATTTCGATTTTTTATTTGATTTTATTTTTTATTTTTTTTTTTTGTTTATTTATTTAATCGTTTCACCACATTGAAGCTCCCTTAATTATAAATTCGATAAACTGAATCTTTTAACTTTCTGATTATTTTTAGTATTATTTGGAAGTACGGTTGAATTCTTTTCTAAAACGGACAATATTAACAAAAAATAAACTTTAAACGTAATTATTTGTAACACCTTTAAAAAGGAATTTACATATTTCGACGAGTACATCGGAATTTCTATAGGAATAAGCGGGTTCATTGTCATACCGAAAAGTTATACATTCTCAAGTGATCGATTCGATTATCCTGACAGTATTGTTTTATGAATATGGTAAGTGCTTTATCAGAAGAGTAATTTATAATGGGCGATTGAAATTCTTCGCTTCCTTTTACATAATATTATTACAACTAGATGATAGATTAATTAAATCCTTATAAAATAATTTCCGCATTTTAAGCATCACAAAATTTTATTACCCCTTTCATTTGCTATTCACGTATTTCTACAAAAATTTTAAGGATCGTAATACGTCGTCTTTGTGATTACATAGCACAAGTTGAAAAAAACCATTTATGATTTCTTTATTACTTCATCACAAAAATTTTCATAAATTTGTATTTGCATGTGTGAAATAATAACTTGTACCATAGAACATTATCCTCTGCAATTGTCCTTGATACAAATTCGATACAAATTCGATGAATGGGGAAGCATATTTAACTTTGCATAATTTTGGAGAGGAGTTAACCAATATAATTATTCCATTTCTTCATAACGGAAATAAATATAAATAAAAGTTTATAAATGTAATAGTCAACAACGGCAAACACGCTTCTTAATTAATTAATTGCTTATTATATAAATCACTTTTCGGAAAGCATGTCAATTTGGCTTTTTTCGCTTATTTATGTCTTGCTGGTTCGGTGTTATTTCACCGAAAAGAATCGCGGTATTCTGACCAGCATAGCGGACATCTCTATTTTAAGGATACCCCAGAATCCCGACAGTTAGAATCCCGACGGATTATAATCCCGATATGCATAAACCCGCCAAGAATGAAATCCCGACCGATCGATATCCCGAAAGTCTAATGTCCCGATTGGTTTGCGATCCCGGTAGTAGAGATCCCGAAAGCTCAAGAGCCCGAATGGCTTATATCCCGAAAGAACATGATCCCGAAAGATTCAAAATCCTGAAGTTTCAAGATCTCAGAAATATACATTGTTATGTTATTTAATTAGCATTAGTACTTTTCATTTTAAATTTAAAATAGGTAGTTTACTTTGTAGTATAATAACTATGTATTACGGAATGGAGGATGTAAATTAATAATAAATTATGATAATAATATAAACAAGTTATAAATTCTATCAATAGTTTTATTATTTTTATTAAAAAATTTTAGTTAAAACATTTTTATTTATACCATTCACATATAACCATATAAAATTAACACCAATAATTAATTATATAGAAAGGTTATGGGCAATTCTGCGAAGAAATTCCATCAATGAACGGTCACTTCAGTTATTAATAATTGACATAATCCTACTTTTTCTTTCAACCAAAACTCTTTTCTGCTTTTTTTCGTTGTTCTCTATAGAAAATCCATTCAATTTGAAGCTCAACCTGCTGTTATTCTCTTTCTATCTCATTAATAATAGTGAAAAGTCCTATATAGGATCCACCAACCAGAGTTTCCTAACGATAGTGTCAAAACTTAATAATATTTTGAGTTCTCAGAACTCCAAATTCAATAAAATCATACACTAACCATAATTGTAGTAGAAAAAGGAGTGTGAAATGAACTACAGTCCCTAGCGAAAAGAATGGCGGTAGAAGACCGCATCTATTTTAGGCTGCAGTTTCATCACTTTCTGGATTTAAGCATTTGTTTATATGCCCAAATCGGACATTGGAATCTGAATTAAAAAGGTAAGTTAAAAAAATAAGGTTTGTTATTTATTTTTATTTTGATTTCCTTTCCGAAACTATGCCAAGCTCTTTAAAATACAAAATAATTCTATTAAGTCAAAAAATTGTAGAACACGAAATAGCTAAAGTGGTAATCGAAATAATTTCTAACAGAATAGAAATAATACGTATCAGAATGAAAATAGATGTTTTACCTGTAAACAAAGGGGACACATAGCTAAAAATTGTAACGTCATATCTATGGAACCCTGTTCACACTGCCACCAGCTTGAACATTAGAAAAACTTATTTCTGACCAAACCTGTACCAAATTTCCATAATAGCCAACCACAATCTGGTCAAACAAGTCAACGAGCTATCTTGTCACAAAGGAGTTCTATATACAATACTCCAAATCTGTTTCTACCACCTCTTTCTTCACAATCTTTTATGACATTTCCTTTTACTAATACCTTCACGACTACTAGTAACCCTTCTAATCTATCGAATCAGTCTTTAAACTATTAAGGATACCTTTAGAGAGTGAGAGTACCAGTCATTATTTAAATCCCTCAAATGAAATTGATATACCTAAAGCTGTAGAAGCTGTTTACTATTATGCATTCATAGATAGTAAATCTATTTATTTGATTTTAGATTCTGGATCTGCTGGAAGTGTTATGTCAAGAAGTTTCTTATAACAATTAAATAGAAAAATTGAAGGCCCATTAATGATTAATATACAAGAAAGATGCTTCTGACCATTGGAAAAAGTCACTAATATTTCAATCCAAATTAGTGATGTAGAAATTCCCATTGATGTCGATATAATTGAGTCTAATGATTATTATATTATAGCTAAAAATGATTGGTTAACAAAATGTCATAGATGACTTTACTGAAATTGTTAGAAATTTATTTTTCAATAAAATTAAAAAGAATATCAGGTTTTTATAACTTGTTGGGAAAAACCTCAATTCGATAAATTTCAACAATCCACACCAATTCACATAAGTTTGATGAATAATGAATATGAAGATAAAAGTTTGACTATATAACGACATTATATAATATTAGGAGATAGTAAAAAAGAACCTATCTTAGCTAAGAGTGATTCTAAACAAGTGACAGTTTAAAAACAAACATATTCATCACAATATTTTAAAAGTCTTAACCAAAAATTCAAATGTTAACCGCCTGAAAGTTCAAAATGAAAATACCATTGGTAAGGCCCTGAAAATAGGTATTATGTCATAAACTACTTGACCAGGCTGAAGATACATGCTTCTTATGCTAAAAGGAATGAGAACATTAGCAGTTATTATAAAATATCCTTGAAGAAGAACCAGTTAAGATTAATTCATATGCTCATTTAGATCAAAAATAACAAAAGGACTTATAACAGTTATTACAAACCAATACTAATGCATTTGCCAATAATTTATCGCAATTAGGCTATATCGCCATTGAGAAACATCATATTCTCATAGAAAATCCTCTTTCAATATAATAACGAGCTTATCAAGTTTCGCCTTTAAAATAAGAATTTATTAAGGAAAAAATAAATTGAATGTTGAAATATAATCTCGTCTAACCATCTGAAAGTCATTGGGTTTTACCTGTTGTTCTAATACGTAAGAAAAATAGAAGTCTACATTTTTGTGTTAATTATCAAAAATTGAATAGTGTCACCAGGAAAGATAGATATTCACTATCACAAATCGACGAACTATTAAATATATTTGGACGCTCTAAGTATTTTTCTACTTTAGATTTAGTTAGTGGATACTGGCAAATAGCGATAGAAGCAGAAGATCAAGCAAAAACTACTTTCATTACAAGTTAAGGGTTATATGAATTAAAGGTTATGCTATTTGGATTAACAAATGCACCTATCACTTTTCAGCGGTTAATGAACAAAGTTTTTAAGAAAAAAATTGGGCAGTTTGTAGCAGTTTATCTTAATGATATCATTATATTTTTTTCTATCTTTGAGAAATATATACGACATTTAGAGCACATTTTTGAGAAACTAAAGAAGGCAGGATTAAAACTTGGTAAGGACAAATATGAGTTTTACAAATTAGAACTTGTATTTCTAAAACATATTGTTAGCAG